TTGTCCTCGGTGGGGGGAGGGGGTCTCTCCATTGTTCTCCAGTAGTGGAGGGAGGGAGGAGGAGGGGATTTTTTCCTTGTTCTCCAATGCGGGGAAGGGGAGTATTCTCCATTGTTCCCCAGTAGAAGCTCCTGAACGCTTAGCGCTAGGAAATCTGACCCGAAAGGCATTTTCTTACACCCCGGGGCCATTTCACCTTCGAGGGGCCTGATCCCGGTGGAAGGCGCTTGAGACCTCACTGGCCCTGGAGCAAGGGGTTTCCCCAACTTTAAATTCCCAGGTGACATCAGGAGCCCAGATGCCCCTGCCCTACAACATCCCCCCCACACCCCAGGCTTTCCTCACTAATTGTTTCCTTCTGGGGGGACCCCCTAAGCCGGGCTGGCTTCACGCACATCTTGGCATCTCCTGCCCGGTTGCAGCACCCTGGATCACAGCCACCCCCAGCACAGATTTTTTTGGAGGAAGGGGGGCCTGTCTCTTTAAGAATCCTCTTCCTGCCCCCCACCTACTCCCACCCCCACACCTTGCACAAGCAATTAGCTTGCATGTGCCCCCCACGGGGCTCGGGCTGTGGGGCTCAAAACTGCAGTGTAGACGCTCGGTTTCCCCGCCCAGGGTCTCAGAGCCCAGGCTCCAGCCAGACCCCGGATGCCTACACTGCGGTATTACAGCCCTCAGCCCAAGCGCCATGAGCCCACCTCAGCTGACCCAGGTGAGTCACACCCTTTGAGTGCAGTGGAGAAGAGACGTACGGGTAAGTACCCGGGGTGGGATGCGTTGTATCACCCATGCTAATGTGCCGTGCTCCTTGGTCACCAGTGGCTGGATCACCTGGACAGGTTTATGCCTAGCGCTCTGATGCAGGTTTTCAGCTAACAGACGTTTAGTGCCACCAGTAGAATCTCACACCTTTTAGTTCCAGAACTCCTGGGTCCAACAACCACAGCCGACCCCACCAGCAGCAGCGGCACCTTTAGCGTGGCCGACAAAGCGAAGACACCGGGGCCCCCTCTCACGTGACCAGCCGTTGCCTCGTAGAAGGGGCTTTTCAAAGAGCAAAGATCTACTGGGAAGCTGTTAGCACAGCCACGTAAGAACTCCTTACCATCCACTCGCACGTTTCAGCCACAGCTCACCAACCACTTTGCAAAGGAGATAAGCATCATTAGCCCCATTTTATAGAGGGGGAAACTGAGGCATGGAGAGGAGACATGATTTGCCCGAGGTCACCCACCAGGCCACTTACGGAGGCATGACTAGAAATCAGGTCTCCTAAACACCAGCCCAGTGTGCTATCTTCTAGGCCAATCTGCTTAGACCAGGGGTTGGCAAACTACGGCCCAGGGGCCACATCCGGCCCTTCAGATGTTTTAATCTGGCCCTCGAGCATCTGCCGTGGAGCGGGATCCAGGGCTTGTCCCGCTCCGGCGCGCCAGTCGGGGAGCAGGGTCCGGGGCTTGCCCACCTCCGTGCGTACCATGACTCCGCACAGCTCCTGAAAGCAGTGGCATGTCCCCCCTCTGGCTCCTACACGTAGGGGCAGCCAAGGGACTCTGCATGCTGCCCCCACCCCAAGTGCCGCGCCCAGAGCTCCCATTGGCCGAGAACCACAGCCAATGAGATCTGCAGAGGCGGCGCCTGTGGACAGGGCAGCATGCAGAGTTGCCTGGCCATGCCTCCATGTAGGAGCCGGAAAGGGAACATGCCGCTGCTTCTGCACCGCCCGGAGCCTGCACCCCAACCCCCTCCCATGCCCCAACCCCCTGCCCCAGCCCTGATCCCCCTCCTGCCCTCCGAACCCCTTGGTCCCAGCCCAGAGCACCCTCCTGCAGCCCAACCCCTCATCCCCAGAGCCCGCCCCCCCAGCCGGAGCCCTCACCGTCCCCCCGCACCCCAATTTTCTGAGCATTCACGGCCCGCCATACAATTTCCATACCCAGATGTGGCCCTCAGCCCAAAACGTTTGCCCACCCCTGGCCTAGACCCTTCACTGCCAAGCAAACAGAGGGTCTGTCTACACAGGAACGAGGCACCCGCGGCTGGCCCGTGCCAGCTGACTCGGGCGGTGGGGCTGTTTCACATCTGGGCTGGGGTTGGGGCGCGGGGCCCAGGACCCTGCGAGCTGGGAGGGTCCAAGAACTCAAGCTCCAGCGGAGACGGTTTGCTTGGGCCAGCCACGAGTTGTTCTTCGCTGTGTAGACATACCCAAAGGGACCGCCCCCAGCAGCCACCCCGGAGCTCTCCGCACAGCTCCTGGGGAGCTAACAAGGCGTCCCCACCGGGGCCCTTCCACCAAGGCCCGGCCAGCCCTGTTGTGGTTTCCACGTCGTTTGCAAGAAAAAGCCGGGAGGGAGGAGGACGAGCCCCAAGCCCTCTCTGTGCAGCGCCAGCGCCTCGACCGGGGCAGGCGAGATCGCCACGGGGGAGGCTCGTGCTGGTTGTGAAAGGTTAGTCATAACACAGTCCACAGCAACTCTGCCGGGACACAGGCGGGTTCCCAAACGGCATCCAACAGCGAAGGCCCGAGCCGGTGCCAAGAGCTACAGCCCGTATCTCAACACACCCCAGCGAGCAGCCTGGGCCGCCCGAACATTGCTCAGGTTTGGTGGTCAGAGAAAGACCAGAGCTTTCTGCAATCGACAGGGGGTGACCGGCCCCAGCCGCCCCAGAGCTAAAGAGCACACAGGGGCTTTGGGGAAAGGTCAGAGGCGCAGGGCAGGGCTTAATTGTAATAGAAGGGGGGCCGGGATGCAAGGAATTTTTTTACATTCATAACTGATGCAACAAGCCCAGCGGTGCCGGGCTCTGAACTGCCCAGCCCAGAGGTGCCAGGGCTGTGAACTGCCCAGCCCAGAGGTGCCAGGGCTGTGAACTGCCAGGCCCAGAGGTGTCGGGCTCAGCCCCTGCACAAATTAAGCATGGATGGAGGGAAAATAGCATGGAGCAGCAGTTCAAACAAGGGTCTGGGTGTCAGGACTCCTAGGTTCTGCTCCTGGCTCTGTGAGGAAAGCATGGTGCAGTGAGCAGACGGCAGGAGGTCTGCGTTTTCTTCCCAACTTGGCTGCTGATGAGCTGTGTGACTCTTAGGCAAGCCCCCCCATCCGTGCCTCAGTTTCCCCCATCTGTAAAATGGGGATAGCCATACTAAGGTGTCTTTGTAAAGCCCGGGGAGATCTGTGATTAGAAGGGCTGAGCCTTGTTAGTAATTTAGGCTGGTCTGACCACGTCTCTAATTTATCAGGAACCCTTTTTCAGCATGGGGGGCGGATTATAGATCGTTATCTAAAGGGGTTTTCACATTGGCTCCTGCTTGTTTGTTACAGGTGCTCTCCCTACCTGTCTCCCACGGCACGGTGTCCCCGATCACACACACAGTCCCTACAATCCCTCTGTTACAGGAGAGGACGGGTGAGGGTCTGTGGCCTGTGATGGGCAGGAGGTCAGACTAGATGATCATGATGGTCCCTTCTGACCTTAAAGTCTCTGAGTCTCTAACAACCAACAAGCAGGCAGGGTATTGTCTATGGTGGCAGGGGGCATGCAATGGGAGCAGCCCACTCCCCCCCCCTCACCATCCCCTTGGAGCCCCTAGACTTTAGAGGGGAGAAGCAGTTGTGACCCCAACTGAAACTTCACAGATATAACAAGGGGGCTAATGAGCCGTGCCAGGATCCCAGATCCCAGCACCCCCCTGAACGCTGGATCCAGACCAGGCCACCCAATCACCCCCTCCCTGCAGCATCCCAAGTTTTTTTTTTTTACCACACCCCTTTCTGCAGAATTGAAGCACCGATTCGTTTTGCCTCACAACCCCCTCTAGGGAGCAGTGTTGTTAGATGGGGAAACTGAGGCACAGAGCCAAACGCTCCCGAAGTCACAGGCTGAGTCCCTCACGAGCCCATCCGAGAGTGCGTCACTCCCTCGCAGGCTCAGCGTTTACTCACTTCCTCTGCAGATATGTGGGGCTGGCTGGAAAGTCCCATCTTCCTCCCCGCCCTGCCCCCAGCACTGGCGGGGTGCACAGGGGAGGGGGAGCCGGCTGGGGATCAGAGCTGAGGCCGGACAGACCCTTCCCCGGGCGCTGGGCAGAGCACCCTGCACCCATGCGTGGCAGCAAACGGCCAGAAGGTAGCACTAGGCTCTACCTCCCATGGGGAGAATTGCGGTTTGATTCCCAGATGCTTCAGCTGGATGATCTGCAACAAGGCCAGTCCTAACCTGACTGTCTCCTGCTGCTCCCTGGTAGATCCGACAGGAGAGGGGGCTTGGGTTGAGAAGGGCACTGGCAAGGGAGGCTAAAGAACAGAACCAGGAAAAAGGAGGGGAAGAGAAGGAAAAAAACTCCCTGCCCCCATCAGACAGTTTAGTCCCCGCTACATTAGCCACTGGGCCAATTCTCCACTCACTCCCCAGTGGTTTTTCAAGGGCTACTCCTGACTTACACCAGTTTGCCAGGAGAATCAGGCCCATTGTAGCTCCCAGTCACCCCTGAGGTTCGGTCTAATCCAGCGCCAGGCTCCCTTCGCTTCCACCGTAGGGCCGGATCCTGATCTCCGGTTCGCCCGTGTAAACCCAGAGCACATGTACTCAGCGGAGTTACTCCGCTATCTCTGGTGTAACTCCAGAGCAATACCCCGTGACTCCTGGTGTCCACCCAGAGCAATTCCGTCCAGGAGATTTACCCCCGGTCTCAGGTACACCCAGAGCAGCTCCACTGAGGCCAACCGAAGCAGCCGGGAGTGGAGTGACTCCGGATTTAGGCACGCGTGAGTGAGATCAGAAGGCGGCCCCGGAGGGTCAGTTTCCTGCACCCCTCCGAGAGCCCGGGGATGGATGCTCTCCACGGAGCCAGCGCTCCCTGCCCCACGGGGTGATGCCGGGTTCATGTCGAGCAGCTGGCTTGTCTCACCCTGAGTCATCTGCTATTCCCCCCCCCCGGCTCGGGCTGGCCTCAGTGCTCAGGGATCCGGGGGGGGGCAGAGCTCCCACTGACTCACCCAACGCTTTCAGCAGCTCCTCGAAGTTCTCCGAGTGCTTCATCTTCCAGTTCCCGGAGAAATTGGGCATCTCGAAGCGGGAGGGGGCAAAGCAGCCGGGTGGGGAAGAGAGAAATGCACCGGGCAGCTCCTAGCTGGAGGGGGGGGGATGATGGGAGGGGGCAAAGCTTTTGCACTGGCTGGTCACCTCCGAACCCCTCTGCTCTCCCCTAGCCTTAGAAAGGAGCTCGCGCCCCTTCCCCCCACCCTTGGCTGATTGACACCCCCCCCCTTCTTTCTCTGTCTCCTAATGAGGCTTCCCACAAGCCTGGGAGCTCCGGTGCCTGCGTCCCTGCCCCACACAGGAGCCTCCTTTCTCCCTCTGCTCTCCAGCGCTTTCTCCCCCATCCCTTTATGTGTCATGTTACTGCTCAGCCTCCCTGTCTAGTCCCTCCCCCCGGCCTCTGGGAGGAGAGAAACATGTCTCCAGGCTCACCTGTCTGGGGGGGAGCTCCTGATCCCCCCCCCACCCCCACACACCCCTTGCAAAAGGAAAATCAGGGTAGGTGTCGCTTTAAACAGCAGGGCAGCTGGCTTATTGGCAGAGCTCCCTGCCTGCCCAGTTAGGAAGCAATCCAGACTCACTCTGTCCACTCCATTTTCACAGCCCCACACTAATAATAAAGCCTGACTCTGGCCTGGGCCATGCGCCCCGTCCCACCCAGCCTGGGTCATCTCATCTCCTCCGGGCCCGCCGCTCCTTTCAGTAGTACGAGGCTATTTCCACCTAGATTCGGATCGTCGCCGCGGCACACGCCGCTGAGGGGGGACGGCTGGATTGAAATCCGTGGAAAGATGGGGCGACGCCGGCCCGGTGACTGGGCGCTCCTCTGGCAACGGTGGGACGGGAACGCATTTGCGTTCTCACTGGTGTAAATCCGCAGTAACTCCACTGTTGTCGAGAGCTAGTCCAGATTTACATCGCTCTAATTGACAGCAGCATCTGGCCCTTAGGAAGCATACCGATCAGGACAGACCAGGGGGGCAGGATTAGATGCGTTAATGCCAATACCTAGCTCTGATCTAGCACTTCTCATCCACAGAATCATTTTATCAATAAGGAAACTGAGGCACAAGGAGGGGACTGGGAAGTGACATGCCCAAGGCCACCCAGCAGATCAGTGGCAGAGCTGGGACTAGACCGTAGGGGTCGTGACTCCCAGCAACACACGTTTCCTTCTTAACTCTCTGACTGCTCAGCTACTGAATTGGATCAAATCCTCGGCTGATCTTAGCGAGGCTCTGAACCCGGAGAGGTTGTGACAGAGCCACATCGCAGCCCCCCTCCCAAAGATCTGGGGGAGTGTTTGGGCCCAAACCAAATCTCCTCCCCACCCACGCAAAAATCAATATGGAAGCTGGACTCCAGTCGCAACACCCAGCTCCAGGTTCCAAAACTCCCCAGCGTCCCAGGGGGTTTGTGTCCCAGGAGTTTGGGCTCTGACAATTACAAAGATACAGGCTTGGATTCCAAATGCCATGACATGAGGATCTGGGGTTTGGTTCAGGCCCATCACAACCAATACCCTAGTTCTGGCCCGGGCTAGCTGATACATACTGGCAGCGCTGGGGCAAAACCATCTCTCCCCAGTGAAACCACTGGATGGCTTTAATGAAACCAGCATTCAGCTTCCTCTGGTAGAGGGGGAGGGCGGCTTTGTGAGCAGGTCCTTATCTGGCACTCAGCAGATTAGGGGTTCAATTCTCTGCTACAGCCAGCTTGGGTGACCTTGGACAAGTCACTTAAACTCTCTCTCTGTTCCCCAGCTGTAAATGGGACAGTAATCTTCTGCCTTTTGAGACTTTAGACTCTCCAGGGCAGGCACTGATCTCTGCTGTAGGTACGTACAGCGCCTTGCACTGTGGGAGTCAGCTGGGGCCTGTAGGCACTACCGTCAAATATAAAGCAACGCCCCCCCCGGTAAGGGGACAGGCTACAATGGAATAAGCCCTTCCCAGCTCCAGTTACCGTGTTTCCAAGTATTTCCAAGCCCGTGCTTGAGCGTCCACACTGCCTCGTAAACCCGGGCTTGCAATTGCTGGAGCCAGGTCTCATGGCAGTGCTCAGGCGTCCAGACTGCCCTGCACACACCTGCGTCTGACTCGGGTCCGTGGCTTGAGCTGCGTCCACTCTGCACAATGACCGGGTTTAGACCAGACAGAAGCGGGGCTTCGGGGTCAGCGCCCTGGGCTGTGTAGACAGACCCTGAGGGGGGAGATGAGTTTTTCTTTAAGACCAGACTTGGGGTGGGAAAGGGGGGAGGTTAGGACCTCTAGTGAAACAATAGCTCCGCCTAGTGGCCGTGAACAGAATAGTCCTAGGGCAGAAGCATGTTGAGCAGGGCGGGGTGGAAACCGAGGAGCAAGGAGTGAGGACTGGGGATGGCGGATTCTTAAAGGGACAGTGTCGAGATTAGGGGGTCAGGGGGCTGCATATCTTGAAATAAACAAAAGATCCCTCTGCTGGATTGAGAGCAAGGCAGGTGGTGATAACATCCCCCAGAACAGATCCGCGCACTCCACCTCTGAAGGAAAAGCCCCACCAGATTGAACGGCCAGGGCTTGCTTGTCTCTAGGATTGAGTTATTGATTTTCCATCCAAGCCACTGTAACAAGTTGGGCTCTGAAAGGAGAGGGGCAGGCATGTGAGTGACAGCGCTGACCCTGGGGCCTCGGGAGATCCGCCTTCCTGTTCCTAGAGCTGCTGTTAATTTCCTCGTCTCTCTCGGCCTCAGTATTCCCATCTGGAAAAGGGGACCAAGAGGCTGCGAAGTCTATGTGTCCGTGCCATGCCCGGCACAATGGGGCCCTGAGCTTAGCTGGCTGCCACTGCAAGACGAAATACGGCGTCCTGGCCTACCCCCAGCTGTATCTCATGAGTGGAGCATCTTTGAAACAGCAGGGCTTCTGAATCAAAACCAGTGTTTCTCAAATGCGGCCACTGTGGCCGCATGCGGCCACCCGGGGCAATTCTTGCGGCCACAGCCTCCTGGGTGGTGATGGGGGGGGGGAAGCAGCTGCCCCTCCCCCTGGGCCACCAGCAGTGGCAAGTCCCTGCCCCCTTCTGGAGCCACAAACACCACAGAAGCAAGGAACCTGTGTAGGTTCCCCACCTTCCCGGGGGTGGTGGGGCTTGGGCTTCGGGCTTCAGCCATGGGTGGTGGGCGGCAGGCTCTGGCCATGTGGCAGCGAGCTCCATCCACAGGGCTTCAGGCTCCAGCCCCGGGCTCACCCCCCATTACCGCTGGCCCTCTCGGCCTCCCTCCCCCCCTTCCCCTCTAGGGCTTAATTTGTCCCCGAGCTTGCAGGGGCTGAGTAAATCTGCTCTGAAAAGTGATAATTAACAAATATACAAAGATCACTTTTCGCAGTAGCATTTTTACTAGCTAGCAAGTCTTAAAAAAAAAAAAAAAAGAGCAAAACCTGTAAAACACCTTATTTGTGTTTCTGTTTAAATCCAGTACGGAATAGAGCCAACTGTACATTCTTCTGATTGTTGAGTCTGCAAAAAAAAAATCTACTTAAAGAAATGAGAATGATTTGGACATGTATATGCGCATATTTATTTATGTGTTTTTCCTAAAGTTGATTAAGTATTTCAGGAAAAAATTGTCAGAGGCTACCAAAAAATTTGTTGTGAGAACCTCTGCTCTAAACTAGGGCAGAGCTAACATGCCCGCCATTGGCTTTTTGTATGGCCCACGACCCCATGGCGCTAGGAGCTGTACAGACAGAACAAAAGACAGACTTTATACTTCCATCTTATACTCAGATTGGAAGCAGGGATCATTGTTTTGTTCTGTGTTTGTACAGCGCCTAGCACCCTGGAGTCCAGGCCTGTGACTGGGGCTCATCGGTGCTATAAATAATAAGAAAGCAGTGATACTAGGAGCAGGGAATCCACACAATTAAGTTGATCAGAGCCTGATTTCCGAGCAGTCTCATTTGGCACAAAGGAAAACCCACCCACGGCCGGCGTGAAGGGCCCGTGGTGTGTAAATGGGAATCAGGTCCCAAGAATTCAGATTGTTTCTGAAATAAAATGGAAGTAAAGGCGATTTCCTCCCTCTGGCGAGAGTATCCAATGTCTCTCAGGTGGTGAGATCATCCACTCGGGTTATTCTCGCTTTTTCTCCAGTTCTTGTTCTCTCAGCAACCGCTCTCTGCAGCTCTCCTCAAGCTTGTAAAAGCTTAATCTCCTGCCCCAGCCCCAGGACACGGTTTAGGGGAAGCAGAGGGCATTTGCCGCCGGTGCGTGAGGGGGATTCCACATGTCAGCCTCCTTCTAAGCCGGCAGGGAGCTGGGTTTTGGGCCGTCTGCTTTTGGTGTCACCTGCAAAGACAGCGCTTTGATGGGCTCTCGCGCCTCTGGCTGGAGCAGCTCAAAGGGGAAAATAGCACCGCTTTCAACATATTCCACCGCTCTTCCGCCACCCGTGACAGCCAGGAGCAGTGGGGCCCAGTGGCTCACGCACGGGGCTGGGCGTCAGCAGAAGGGAGACCTAATCCCACCGCTGCCCCTGCACTGCTATGACCTTAGTTAGGTGCTGTCCCCTCCTAAGGCAGGTCTCTTTGGGGAGCATCATCTATCGTCTCTGGTTTGTCACTTTAGATTGTAAGCTCTGGTCCCAGCACAATGGGGCCCTGATCTCCGTGGGAACCATGCCAACTACAGGGGAAGTCATGGCCCCCGTGCCTCAGTTTCCCCCATCCATCCCCATACTATTGGGCTAAAGATACTACTGCACAGACACATAAAGGGACAGTCCCTGCTCCAAGGAGTTTATAATGTAAGTAGACAAGACAAAGAGTAGGAGAAAGGAAGAAGGGAGAAGTGAGGTACAGGAAGAGTAAGTGAGATGCCCAAGGCCACATAAGGAGTCAGTGGCAGGGGACTTCACAGTTGTTACCAGGCCACTCAGAACATCACGGCAGCAACGGGAAACAGAACTCAGATCCCTCCCCTACCCGCCCAGCCTCCTGCCACCTGAACAAGGGAGAATCCCCCTCAACCATTAGCAGTACTGGGCCCAGGACACATAGTTGGCCTGGTCTGGTTCCATCTAATAGGTGGCAGCAGCGATACACACCAGCTAACGGGTGATATTTTTGGAAGTAACCCCGATTGATTGTTCCAGGGTCAGAAGGTCAGGTTTTGGGGGTTTTTTTGGTGAAAGGCATGGCATTTTCATTAAAGAATTTCTGGAGCCTGTCAGCTCTGCCATTGTCCCTTCAAAAAACGAGACTTTACTGTGCTGTGTAAAGTTTGCTTTGGCTCCGGGCCTGGGGTAAAGAACGAAGATTAACTGCTAATGCTGGATTAGAAACATGGAGAAATTA